AATTTTGTTAAAAAAAAAGTTGATCAAAAAATAAAAATCACCTTTTATACAAAAATAAAATAAAATAATAATATACATGTATACGTTATTAATGTACACATTATTTAATATTATATTTTTGAAATCGGTTTAATTGTGTACCCAATACTTACACAATATATATGTATGTTTCTTTTTTTTTTTGGAAGCCAAATTTCTAATAAATTTCGTAAATAAAAATGTTATGTTGCAAAAATTTGAAAACAATATTCTCCAACTACTACCACAACCTCTAAATCTATCATAGAAAATTATTTTCAAAAAAATTATATACCTGATTAAAAAAAGAATTATCAGAACATGATTTTCATCACTTATGATCAAAAATTAAATAGTTCTTAATAAAAATTAAAATTTTTTATCACATTTGATTTTGGATTTATTGTTTTCAATAATGAACCATTGTGATCGAACTAAAAATTCAAATACTTATCCCCCTCTCAAAATTGGAGGTTTTATGTTTCAGGATACGTAGAATTCGAAAAACGAATAAAAATTGTTTGTCCGTCCGCCGTCCGCGCATTTTCTCCGAAACTACTGGACCAATTTTTTTTCGAATTTGGATTTAAAATTAAAGATCACCCGAGGATGATCCTCCTTTATCGACATTACTATCCGTCTTTTTCTTTCAAGATGGCGACAGAAAAACCTGCGCTGCTATCGGCAAAATTCAAATACTTAACCCCCTCTCAAAATTGGAGGTTTTATGTTTCAGGATACGTAGAATTCGAAAAACGAATAAAAATTGTTTGTCCGTCCGCCGTCCGCGCATTTTCTCCGAAACTACTGGACCAATTTTTTTTCGAATTTGGATTTAAAATTAAAGATCACCCGAGGATGATCCTCCTTTATCGACATTACTATCCGTCTTTTCCTTTCAAGATGGCGACAGAAAAACCTGCGCTGCTATCGGCAGTAGCGCCTAAACGAATGTACCGATTTCAATGAAACTTCCCTTAAACCGATGAAGTCGGTTACTTCAACGAAAACAAGCCGGAAAAAGTTGCAAAGGATGGTAAAATTAAATTCTGAATAACAGAAAAAGTATACATTTTTTTGTCAATATTTTTTTAATTATCTATTTCAAATCCTGATTTATCGTTATCGAATTCAATTGAAAATCAAAGTACCAAAGTAACCAAAGTAGTTTGCACAAATAGAAGAGAAGATTAGGAATGATCTACTTCGAGCAAGCAGGTCATATAAGACATGAGACGATAAAAATCTTAAGAGGAGGTATTCTTCTGCTCTAAGACCTTTTCCCGATGCACCATTAAATAGTATGGCTTGGATCTACGAGAGATATTGTATCTAGTGATCAGTGAAGACCGTGAAAACTGAAGAGGAACCTCCAGTAAGATACTATATACCAGAGGTCTCCATACGTTTTGGCCCACAAATTGAGACCATCGAGACCTAAGTACCGCGTACCATGGATTGTGGTAAAAGAAAATTCTTTTTTCTATAAATGACACTTCAGTTGTGATATGAACTTTCTAACAGAAACTAATCATGCAATAAACATTGACTGCTACTTACGCTGACGATGCAACAATTTTAACAAAACACCATGACCCCAGACTAGCCTCATTAAATTTACAAAATAACTTACTAAATTTACAAAATTGGTATTCACTTTGGAAAATTAGATTAAATCATAACAAATCACAGCACATAACATTTACGCCTCGACGAGAAACATGCCCACCAGTTTATATCAGCAACAATCCAATTCCTCTGACGGACACTATACCACGGACTAATATTTGACAGAAGGATGACCTGGGGTCCACAAGTCAAAATGAAAAGAAAGACTTTGAACAAGCGACTGGAAAATACTATACTCACTGTTTTTTAAATCAAAATTGAAAATTAGACAAAAACTAAATACAGATTTACGGTTCAGCAAAAAAAAAAAAACTATTTACAAAAAGTACAATCTTTTCAATCTAAAATTTTAAGACTAATAACTGCAGCTCCCTGGTACGTCAACAATAAGACTTTACATACCGACCTAAGACAACCAACCATTGACCAGCACATACGTACTCTCTACTCCCGATTTTATCTTAAATTACACGGAAATCACAATGGACTTATCGACGACATGGTCACGGCTGAAATGCTCACCAGGAGACGACTGAAAAGGAGCTGGATGAGAGATCTCCTTTCCTGATTTTAGGATGTAAATAAGCCAGGGAAGTGGTGCTGCTTGGTTCCATTATTCGTCATGCCTATCATGCCATTTTCTACATAACAACAAATCTGCTGATTGTCATTACCATGTGCGGATGAAGAATTGAAGACAAAAAACAAAACAAAAAAACATGTAATTAAAGAAGCTTTCGCGGGCCTTTTTCGAGGTGGCGTGCTGTAGTTTGGAGAGACCTCTGCTATGAAAGATGAATTGAGCCCATAGTTGATAACGACCCCACTTTGGACTTCATTGAGGAAGTGTACTTAACTACCTTTATCTGGTTCCTAGAAAAGACATGGGATTTTATAAAGTTTTACGGGATATCGGGATATTGCGAAGCGTTTTAGTCATGGTGAAAACCTTGGTATTTCATGCTAAGTTGTGGTATACTAGAAACCGTCGTACCCTGTACCTCGTATCATATGAGACTCTAAGGGCCTAACAATGAAGGTTGGCAGTGTTCTACCTCCAACTGATAGTGAGTTTCCTCTGATAGGACGTTGGGAACTTTTTCGTTACGTAGACATATCTATACTCTCACTCGTGCCATAATATCTTATAACCAGAGTATGGTAAAAATTAAATAAAAAAAAAATATACACACATTGTTGGAGGAGAGTTAAGATTATTGTAAAAAATGGCACATTATCAAATCTTTTTTACTACTTATGCTTACGCATGCGAAAATTTAGTATTAAATTGTGAATATATATATAAATTTTCAAAGCATGTTAAAATGATTATTAAATCGTTAAACTAAATGTACGCAATAGAAATGTTGAGGAAGTTATACTGAAGTTACTTAAGAGATGTTTTTATTTTGAAAACACGAAGTTATCTTACTCTATCTCTCTCTCTCTCTCTCTCTCTCTCTATATATATATATATATATATATTTTTTTTTTTTTTTTTTTTTCCTACCTTTATGTTTATTTTCTCTTTCTTAAGTACATATTGTGTGGATGAATACTATAGCCCTAGTACGAATGCCCTTCAGTGTGGCGAACTGCATTAATACTCAACTATTATACAAAGAACATGTATCTATAAAGATAACGATAAAGACGAAATGACAGAAATAACAGAAGAGTTTAACTAACTCTTAGCAAAACTGTGAGTAAGAAGATATTTTACTTTATTTCTCTCTCTCTGAAAACCTTGGTATTTCATGCTAAGTTGTGGTGTACTAGAAACCGTCGTACCCTGTACCTCGTATCATATGAGACTCTAAGGGCCTAACAATGAAGGTTGGCAGTGTTCTACCTCCAACTGATAGTGAGTTTCCTCTGATAGGACGTTGGGAACTTTTTCGTTACGTAGACATATTTATACTCTCACTCGTGCCATAATATCTTATAACCAGAGTATGGTAAAAATTAAATAAAAAAAAAATATACACACATTGTTGGAGGAGAGTTAAGATTATTGTAAAAAATGGCACATTATCAAATCTTTTTTACTACTTATGCTTACGCATGCGAAAATTTAGTATTAAATTGTGAATATATATATAAATTTTCAAAGCATGTTAAAATGATTATTAAATCGTTAAACTAAATGTACGCAATAGAAATGTTGAGGAAGTTATACTGAAGTTACTTAAGAGATGTTTTTATTTTGAAAACACGAAGTTATCTTACTCTATCTCTCTCTCTCTCTCTCTCTCTCTCTCTATATATATATATATATATATATATATATATATATTTTTTTTTTTTTTTCCTACCTTTATATTTATTTTCCTTTCTTATGTACATATTGTGCGGATGAATACTATAGCCCTAGTACGAATGCCCTTCAGTGTGGCAAACTGCATTAATACTCAACTATTAAACAAAGAACATGTATCTATAAAGATAACGATAAAGACGAAATAACAGAAATAACAGAAGAGTTTAAATAACTCTTAGCAAAACTGTTAGTAAGGAGATATTTTACTTTATCTTTTTATTTCTCTCACTCTCTCTCTCTCTCTCTCTCTCTTTCGCTCACTCGTGGCAAAATATCTTATTAGCAAAGTATGGTACAAATCAAATTAAAAAAAAACTATGCATACAGCTATATTCCGAAAGCGCGTATTTAAATTCGGCTAATAGTTGGAGGGGAATTGGGATAAATGTAAAAAATGGTACATTGTCAATTTTATCAAATCTTTTGTACTACTTATGTTTATGCATATGAAAAATTATTTTTTTTTTATATACTTATATAGATGATTCAGAAAAATTGTATATTATTTTTAAACCATGTCAAAATTATTATTAAATCGTTAAAATAAATATACTCGATGTTGAGGAAGTTATACAGAACTTACTTGGGAGATGTTTTTATTTTAAAAACACGAGGTTGTTTTCGTTCCAATTGTGTGTAGTTCTTTTTTTTTTTTTTTTTTTTATATATATATCTACGAATTGAACGATCGAACAATAGGTTGAACTATAGGAGAAGTATGTTCACCATAACGAATGCATCGAAATGGACAATTCTACCTTTAAATTATTTAAATTTCCTAAACGTCAATTTTTTTTCAATCAATGTCAGACTTTAGCTTTGGTGCATTACGATAAAACTGATATTATTGTGTTTATCATTTGAGGTTATTATTTCTTATTGATAACTTTCAGGGTACAGTCAGTTTTAAATCACAAACGATTCGCTCAACATACACTCTCATTAGGCCGGTTTGGTGGAGCGGGGGAAACGAAGCGAACGAAGAGGTCGCCAAGAACAGGAAGTGCAGAGGAGTCAGGAAGCGCGGAGCGGACTACCTGAGCTGCGCTTGGCTGCTCCTGCTGACGCCGCATAGCATCTTCTTGAAGGCCAGCCGGAACTCGGGGCTGAAGACGGTGTAGATGATGGGGTTGAGGGTGGAGTTGAAGTAGCCCAGCCAGAGGAAGAGCGAGGCCAAGGAGTCGCTGATCTCGCAGTAAGGGCAGAGCGGCATCAGGAGCGCCATGATGAAGAACGGAAGCCAGCACACCACGAAGGCGCCGGTGATGATGGCCAGTGTCTTCGCCGCCTTCCGCTCCCGCTTGGCCTCGATGGTCTCTCGCTTGGTGTCGCGCTTCCTGCGGCCCACGGCCACTGAAGCGTGGTTGGTGATCGTGAAGGCCGTGGTGGCAGCTTCCGAGTCGTGTTCCCCGGTCGATCCTTCGACCAGGGCGCTATCGCCGCGGCTTCCTTCCCATTCTCTCCTCTTCTCTTTCCTATGAATGAAATATATATTAATGAAATATAGAATAGAATAGAAGAATCAATTTTATTCTGGGACAAAGTCCCTTGAGAATAACAATATTGTACATAAAAATTAACATAACGTCTGGCCAAAATGCATATTACAATAAAAAAATTAAAAAATAAGTAATAACAGAAGTATTACATAACTGTACAGATATATTAAAGACATAATATAATAATAATAATAATAATAATAACTATGCAACTCTAAATGAAATTTGAAATTAACGACAAATTACTTATATATTTTATAAATAATTTTATAAGTAATTTGTAAATAACCTACGGGTAGTTAATTTTAAATTATTGTTTTGGCTTGAATAGGCGCATAGCCTTCCGCTTTTATAGCCTTACCGGGTTTAAGGTTATTTACCCTCGTGAATCTTTAAAACAAAACCCCGGCACTGGATATCGACTTTTGAGGGTGTTTAACTGTGATTGGGTATTCGGGGATCTATTACCTTTTATGACACTGTGTGAGAAGAAACAATAAGAATACATATATGAAATGTGGGACTTAGTAAACACTTTGAATTGACTCACCTGGTTTATTCTTCAATCGTGAGGCCTATAGGACAACTTAATAAAACGACTATTCACTCCGGTATAATAAAACAATTTATTTTGACAATTGATCATAAATGAATATATATAAGTGAACGGTCGGCTTGATAATCTTGGTCTTCAATGTAGTAAGCCTCTCTTCGCAGATGACGTCTTCTTATGTTGTTGTCCAGGCCTAAAGTGTTTGGCGTCGTCCTCGCCATCTGTTGCCAGCTACCTGATCGGACCTTTTCTTCTTTTCGATTCTTTATCGATGTCAGATTTTCCAATGAGCAATTTGTCCACTGCACAATTGAGTACAATTCACAGTGCTACCTATCATTCCTATACATTATATATACCTTCTCATTCCCTCACACATTGTCATCTAAAGGGATAAATACAGGGAGATGTCTACTACAAATTAGTTATATATTATTATATACATATATAATAATATATATATTAAATATGTATATATTAACTTAATTAATACGGGCATAGGGTAAGCTCAACAATGATGGACATAGCTAAGGATTTTTTTTTTTGTCTTTTTTGGCTTACACCTCCGTAATTATTATAGTTACAAAACTTCTCCGTTGGATATTTAGAATTTCCAGAGTCTACTTTTTCTACTTAATACTTTAAAATTGAAAAAATATTCAGTTATGGAGGTAAAATTACTATTAAAAAAACACCTTTTTGCACTAGTGATGTATACCTCGAAAATCGATCGTTATCGTAATGGACAAGGGGTATTATACGAGGAAAAAATCCGGACATACCTCAGACAAAACCTAAAATCTTTATTTAACTAATTATTGTAAATATTGTAATTGTAAATATTGTACATAGCTGTGAAAGTGTTTTATTTATTTTGTTATCATTTGGCTTAAATCTGTTATATATATATTTTCTACTTTTGTTATTTTTATTTTTTTTTATGTAGATGAATACTATAGCCCTAGTACCAATGCCTTTCAGTGTGGCAGACTGTATTAATAATCAATAAAACCATTTTTTTATTGTTGATTGAAAATATTACAATCTGTCTCAAAGGACATTTATAATAGTGTTCAGAGATCACATTCAAACTATATGTACAATAATAATAATATATATACAATAAATAAGTATAAAATAGTCTAAAAAAATAAATAAAATGAACACAAACATACCTATATACACTATTTATAATCAGGCGAGAGAACTCCGAGCCAAACTTGTCCCTCCAACTGTGGAGGGAAAAGCTTACTCCAGGATATCTCTGTACTTCTCTCTCAACCACGTCACTGGGGCTAAACCCAATGGAGATTATGCGAGAGTGCTTTAGCCACTTAAACTCATGTCGTGAGTGGAGAATCTGGCCGTTACCAGAACTCCAATATTTACAAACTATAAAAGGTAGCGGGACCACTGCCGTTTTAATCTCCTTGGGTGATTATAGGGATGAGTGGTGCTGGATAGGGATCGTGCATAGGGATTCAGATGATAGGTAAGGTTATGGTGAAATTTGGAGAATTTTGCTGGGATAAGGTTTAGGACAAAAAGGATTTTAATTTCACGGTATAAGGTAATAAAAAATAACTATAAAGATAACGATAAAGATTAAATAACATACATGTTCAACTTACTCTTAGAATAACTGTTAGTAAGAAGGTATGAAACTCCCTGATCTCAAGAGCACAATAGAAACAACAATGATAGGCTTTCTAAAATTTTCTTTTGGAAACTTTGTTCATAGAATTGTCAATAGAGTATGTATGTATATATATATATATATATATATATATATATATATATATATATATATATATATATATATATATATATATATATATACACAATCTTTGACACTAATACTTATTATTAGATTATATAATGATTTAAGTATTTTTGCAATAGTTCATAATTATTCTACTAAAATATTACTTCATTCTGATGGAATTTTTAATAATGTATTGCAAAAATTGTATTTTGTGAAGTATTTCTCAGATTTAAGAATAAATGGAATGAATTTAATAATAAAAATAAAACAGAATTATGGTCAATTACTTCTTCCTGGAAAAGAATTTGATGCTCGTGGAAGATGATTTTTCGATGGGTTCCGGAGCGCTGGAGCGCTGACCGCGCCGCCTCCGTATCCTCTTCCTCGCCGTCTGGAAGATCTTCCAGTAGAGGACCAGGATGACTAGGAGTGGTACGTAGAACGTAGAACAGGTGGCGAAAACCTGATAGCCGATGTCCTGGGACACCAGGCACCTAAGAGAGGAATATTCTTAGTATCGATGTTTCTTAGAATGGAGACAGGACTCGAAGACCACTCACCTTTGCTGGAGAGTTATCCTGTCCAGGTAGTCCGGATCCTTCCAGCCGAACTGCGGTGCCAAGGAGACCACAAGTGCCACTGTCCATACCACGACGATCATCCAGATGATCCTGGTTGCGTTCCTCGTGTGGATATAGTCCACGTTCGTGACTGCCCAATACCTGAAACAGGTATTGAAGTTATGCCAATCAGAAATATTAAATTTTTTTTTTCGACTCATAAATAGAGTCGGGTTAATCCATCGGCATCCTTTGCGAACAGGTTACCTCACTTACCTTTCTTCCTTTACTCTCTTCTCGATGTCGATACTACCATTTCGTTTATATTGTCATATTTACTCATTGTATCTTATTCACTTAATATAACATAACATAATTTTTCAATTATTTTCTATTTATATAAGTTTCGATAGATTTCGCAACATTTTTGGAAGTTACTTAATATTTAGATAAAATATTATAAACAATGTGAATAAGCTTATTAAAATTATAAACAGTAAGTACATTAAAATATAAACAGCTAAGTAGCAAGCTCCTAAACTGAAGTAAATAGATGGTAATAATTGTTGTATTGTAATATATAATATATGAAATTATGAATATACTCCTACAGATCTACAGGAGAGATTGGAAGAAAAAGAAAAATGATATAATATGAAATAATAGATATAAAGAAAAGAAAAAACCAAAAAAAAAAAATTAATAAATAAGTAAATAAAGTAAGAAGAATAAAAATAGAGACTTACAGTTGTGTTCAGCTAAGGAGTTTCGCTTAGAACTGGAAAATCAGGGTAAGGGTAGGTATTGGGGAAATTTGTTCACTTGTTTAGGTAATGAGAGTAAAAACAAAAAAAACTGGAAAATAACAGTATCTAAAATTACTCTTTCAGTAACTGTATTAATCTTATCTTATATACCCTAACCTCGCTACCACTATTTGATAAGTCCTAGCTTTATTAATGTTATTTTATACATCCTTAATTTATATATCATATATTTGTCATTCCTCATATTTATTTATGTTAAATCCTCACACCAGACTGAAACGACAAGAAACCGCTCGACGTTTCCGACTACTCCGGCATTTACTAGACAAACGCTCTAAGCTTTCAATTAATTACAAAAGATTCATACACATGACTATAATAAGATCTAATTGGACTTACGGAATTGAGTTTTGGGACTCCACTAAACCATCCTCTCGTATCTAATCCTTACAATCCAAAATCCTTAGTAAAAACCTTAATGCTCCTTACTTAGTAACAAATAAAATAATCCATAATGACCTGAATGTTCCATATTCCGATTTGGCCCAATGTAGATACCTATCCTTCTATAATAAACTTCAAAACCATCCTAATCCTATTGTTTCTAACCTTGCTTCCTCCTCGATCCCTGATAACCCTCCTAGGCGTCTGAAAAGAAGTTTGTCTCGTGATCTATTAACTTAAGAATCTTTATTAGAGTGCTAGCCATGGGAAGATTCTCTTCAAGCCTTGTCATGTTATGTATTTATCTGTATCACATTTGCTGAATGCACATTAAATGTATTTATAATGTTATCTTGTCTTTTTTTTTTGCTATGATGAAGGCATCAACGTTTTCTAAACGTTGTCTAAACGTCGGCAGGAAATAAAAACAAATATAATTTATTTATTTTAACTTTGTGTTTTCACTGACTGAAACCCCGACCAACTTCTCTTCAATATATAAACTCTCAGCAATAAGTCCGTAGATCATTCGATTGCTCTATTAGTCGTGGCAATCTGTTATTTTAAATAAGTTATGGTAAGACAGTACAGAGGTCGTTATGAGATACGAGCGAAGAGAGCGGGGATCCATTATCTTCTGGAGGGACTGTCACCACAGCCAACTTGAGAGCAAGGACACAATATCGACTCAGAGAAAGCGGCACAACTTTTCTTCCCCCCCCCACCCGTGCCTAGATAAAACTCCTTTCAATTTAGCTGGCCCCTCCCACTCCCTAATGTCCTTCCGCTATTGCCCCAATTTATCTCCGCAAAGAGGGAGACTATTTCTGATTATTTCACTTCCGTAATTAAACACCTTGCCGACTTCCGACCTCTCCGCTTATCCGGTTGAGGACTCTTCATATTTCAGCTTCCGCTCTCCATTCATAAATCGGATACGCCCCCCCCCTTTACTTTCCTTTTCATTCTATTTTAGACACTTTTAATGGCCTCAGATCGGGTCCATTATTCTCGTTACTTTATGAGAACACCAGGAAGAAGTTAAATCCCAATTAATTGCTTGGATTAGGCAGCGCTGCTATCGTTTATCGTCGATCCAATTCAATCCAGAGAGATCATTGCCTTTATCCGATTTCGTTAAATTTATCTATACAAATCATTTCTTTCTCAATACTAACCCTTTTGAAAATTCACAGTATATATAAAATTCTCCTCGGATAATAATAAAAATCAAGAATCAAGAATCTCGAGTAGATTTAAAATACCTTTAAAATAAAAATGTTCTTCTCCTTTTTTGCCCAGTCAGTGGGGTAGTTCAGTGGTAAGGAACTTAGCTTCAAATGCTCAAGAGCCCAAGTCATCCCATCATCATCATCATCACGATCCCAGCTTAAGGCAGATAAATTATTTATTCTGTTTCATCAGTCGTGGAACGACCAGGAGGGGGGGGGGGAGATTCTCCTTGGTCACACCCTCTATAAAGTGGGTACTCTTAAATAAATATTTAATTAAGGGGAAAAACCTGGCGATTAGGCATGATCTTAGTCAAATCACCTCCTTGCACAACCGTTGACCAAGAAACTGTATATTCCCTAAATAGTACTGAACCCAAGTATCTTCATGGGTTATAGCAGTACAGTTTTTTAACTTTCACTTACTTATATATGTAATATTTAGGGTGTTTCGTATTTGCACGGCACTATTTTAGTTATGTGTTCACTAACCAAAATAAACAAAATAAACAAAAAAGTGAATATTAACATATATCTCAAAGTCATTTATTTAACACATATCAAAGGTTAAAGATTTATTATTACTATTTATTTATGATTATTACAAAATTTAGAGTAACTGTTCAAAGGGGCGTCTGTTTTGTTGAATGCAACATTCAGCGTGACGAATCCATGCTTCTCTGGCTCTTCGTATAGCATCAGGATGGTTCTTGATAGTTACTGCGGCTTCCACGATCCGATTTCTTATCTCTGCTTGTCTGTTAACTATCGCAGAATGAACCATAGGCTTCATCCATCCCCATTCCAAATAATCTAATGGCGTTAAATCCGGAGATCGTGGTGGCTATTTACTAGGTCCGTTTCTACCAACCCATCGGTCTCCATAAGTTGCATTTAAATAATCAGTGACACTATCAGAAAAATGAGCTGGATCACCGTCATGCATAAACCAAAGCCTAGCGGAATATCTTCTAGGAGTTTATGAAGATTATTTTTCAAAAAACGGAAGTTAGATATACCTGACGGTGTAAGTAGCAAAAAGAAGGGCCGGTGATGTTGTCGCTTAGAAAATCACACCAGATATTTAAAGAAAAGGTATGTTGGTAATGTCCAACAGCAGTCGTATGAGGTTTTCTTCAGTCCATGTATGGGTATTTCGAAAATTAAGAATCCCGTTTCTTGTAAAGCAAGATTCATTAGTAACCAAAATGCAGTTCAGGAAGTTAGGATCTAGTGTGTATTGTCGAATTAACCACTGGGAGAAATTTCTGTGCTTGTTATAATCTTGTGATAACAAATCATGCCTACTTGATAGGTGAAATGGATACAATTTTTGTTCGCCATACGCTGGTAGAGGAAGCATCGAAACGACGTAACAATTTCTGGTACTGGTAGTAGGAGATAACTGAACAGCATCGAGTATTTCTTCTTTAACGTTTACAGTTCTTCAAAATCTTTGTCGACAGGCATTTAATCGTATAGGTTTTAGCATGCCATTATCTCTAAGGCATCTTCGGTTAGGAAATTTTTCACGATATCTTCGAACAGCAGTAGCACTGTTTCTATATACCTCGCTATATGCACGTCTGTTTGTTCTGCAACAGTGAATAAATTTATGGTGTCTCCCATGATAATCATAAATTGAACTGTGTAACTTTTTTTCCTGATTTATTCGCGAATTTAGTACCAAAATTGATAGCACATTAATTAGAAAATTATAGAAAATTTCCATCAAAATCGTTAGAGCCGTTTTTGTGGTACAGTCTATAGAAAAATATGTTTTTCCCTTATTGCGCAAAGAGCACCCAATTTGTTTCACAGGCATCAGTAGTCAAAACTCTACAAAATAAAAAAAGAAGCAACAAAATCAGTTCACTTGTTCCTGAAATAATCTTGGCACAGACATGCTGGCAAACCAATAGCTGAAAATGTTTTATTTTCGGACTCAGAAGACTGTTAAACGTATAGATACTCCAAAAACAACGCCGAAAATCGAAAATTTGACCCGATCCCAATACTTTCCTTACTTAGTATAGATAGGAAAGTAAAAAAGTACAATTAAATGAACAGTTGTAAAATGGGGGTTGAGTGGAGAGGAATTACCTCCCTAGTTTTTAATATTTTATTTTTTTAAAAGCTACATCGTATTTGAAAAGTATTGTATAATATTGGTGGAATATAAGTTTTTATTTCGAAATCGGTATATTTTAATTTCATTTTAAAACTTTAGTACTTCAAACGAAGAGGTTTACAGGGTCTAGATGACTAGATGACGATCCTTTTTTTTCACTTAATTTTTCATTTTTTTTTTAAATTCAACTTTTTTTAAAATTAATTTTTTAATGTACTTAAGATGTACAAATTTAAGTTGTTCTACATATATCGAAATTGAAATTCGCCAGTTCTCCACGAAATTTCTTTACTTACTACAACGTGTTATCAAAATCCATCGCTCCATATTCTGTAGATATTGCGTAGGATTGCTACTATACAGTTATCTCCTATTCAATCCTATATTATAAGTTCGAAAATCGATTAAATGTTATTTAAAAAAGCAAGGAATCGTTACCTGTCTACAGCGATCGCCACTAGATGGAGTATGGAAGCAGTACAGCAGAGAACATCGGAGGAAGTCCACATATCACACAACTCCGGGCT